TCTTTTACAAACGCTAGCAACGCAGCAGTTGAAAATCAAATCAATAGGAAAAAATTGCAGAAAATTCAAAAATGGCTTGGCCAGCTGATTTGAAAAATGTTCCGGAGGGCTTGGCAGCGAAAGGGTTAATCATTCATCATTAAATAACTAATAATATGTATTGAATAATAATTTATATAATATTAAATAATTAATTTAATAGTTAAATAGTCCAGAGTCCTGCATCTGTTGCTATTACATTGCAAGATTTTTATTTTGTTCTGAACCCCCCCAGGAAAAAAAAATGATCTACGGCCCTGATATTTGTATATGCAGCCTGTCTGCATTACTGTAAAAAGTACCAAGGCTTTATATGGGTTTTATATGGTTTTGTTTTGTGTTTTCAACAGCTCTTTATCTTAAAACAACTCTGTCAATAGATCTAAATGTTTTTAAAAAGTCCTGTTTGTAAAGAATAGAGGCAATACTTACATGTCCCTGTGCTGCTGATCACTACAGTGTCCTGTAGTAATGTAGAAGCCTGCGGGTAGAACTATAGAGTGCAGTGGGGGACCAAGCATCAGACACACCCAGAAGTGTGTAAAATTTCATGATAGCTCTATAAGAGAAGTTCGATAAGAAGAAGTGAAGGATGATGAGGGCACTTGTAAGTGTTACCTCTATGTGTATGGGTAATCAAATGCCTCCTGCTTTTTTATTTAGTATAGAAGAGTGATTTCTTATTCCATCTGCATTAAAAAATGTATTCTTTTTTTGTAGGAATTTACAGACCTTGAGGGTCGGGTGCATGTAGAGATAGAAAAAGATCAAAGCAGCTTTGTTATTGACGGAGCAAAAAGAGAGGATGAATGCAATTATAGGATTGTAGTGACCAACCCTTCTGGAGAGGATAGTGCCACTCTGTATGTCAAAGTAGTAGGTAAGGAAATGCTAAAAAACTATGAATATAAAATGGAATTATAAGTTTAGAAATACGTGATGTGTAGCAAACAACTGAAAAGCATTACCAATAGAAAGTTTACATTTTATTCCAGATATTCCTGATCCTCCACAGAACATTCAGATTGCTGGTGTTGGAGAGGACTGGGCAGATGTCGTTTGGGATCCCCCAAAATATGATGGTGGTCAACCTATCTTAGGTAAGCAACATTTAAAAATACTCTCCAAGGGTTGATTTACTGGTTACTGTTGTAATGTTCTTCGCGTATATCAGCCACCTCCTGTAAAAGCATTTTCTGCATATCTCTATGTGCCTTACCTTGCAACTAAAGCTGACTATACACCAGTAGAGTTTTGTTTGAAAAAAATGTTTTCACAACGTTTGTTCGATTTTCTAATATCTAATGGGATGAAATTGAAACTTAATTTCAACCATATTCTGAAAACAAATCAGAGTAGCAGGATGGAAACTTTTTAACGAACTAACATAATTCTTACAGTGAATGTGGTTTTCACTCTTGAAACTCCATTCATTCCAAATTTGAATGTTAAACTTAAATGACATTTCAAACAAAATTCAAGTCTCTAATGACATTATCAAATATTCTGATGCAATTTTTCTTACAAACTTTTGTTCTAAAATCTACCATTGTATGACCATCTTAAGAAACTTAAACTGTCTTATTTCCGATTTGACAAAACTTCATTAAAATTACTGCTGTAATTATTTGCTGTTGTGATGAATGCATTGAAGTTAACAGAAAGGCAGAATTAGTGGGTTTGAGGTTGTTAAAATTTGCTTTTAAGATATACAGTTGCGCTCAAAAGTTTGCACACCCTGGCAGAAATCGTGACATTTTGGCATTGATATTGAAAATATGACTGATCACGCTAAAAAACTGTCTTTTATTTATGGATAGTGATCATATGAAGCCATTTATTATCACATAGTTGTTTGGCTCCTTTTTAACCGCTTCCGTATATACGGCCCTTGAAGCAGCTATACCAAGAACGCGGCTGGAGGGAACATCGATTGGAGGGAGATCTGCAAGCTTCTAGCTGCTGAACTCACATCCGATCACTGGACCCGGAAGTTAAGCGCATCACTTCCGGTGTGACTGTGCACATTCTGCGGCTCTTAAAGCCAGGAGAAGAAGCTGGTGAAGCAGATCTCTGGGGGTCCCTAGGTGACATTAGGGATCTGAAAGACCCCTGATGTCTCCATAAAGAGGACCTGTCACATCATATTTGCGATTACATAGTGGGCTTGTTAGCCCCCTATGTGATAGCAATACAGTTAAGTGTAAAAGAAAAATGAAAATAACATAGAAAAATTTAAAAAAGCAAAACTAAATTTTTAAAGTCCCCCGCCCCCATGAACATGCACATAGGTGCACAAAAACACGTTGTGTGCATCTACTTGCAAAAACAAAAGTTGCGCCACACTTGTTACATATTGCTGCGAACGTCAGAGTGAGAGCAATAGGGTTGCTAATCACTGTTAATACTAAACTGATGAGCAGTAAAAGCTTTTAAAGCATCGCCTATGGGGAATTTGGGGTGTTGTAGTTTTCTTAATATAATAAATGTTTATTAAGAGTTTAGTACAGGTAACATAAAAGACAGGCAGAAATATGGATCAGCGCAGTTTCGGAGCATGCAGTCACAGTCCTGCATGAGACACAGGCATATAAAGATGCATATATATGTGTTCGGTTCAAGTATCAATCACATACAGTGGTAAATATGTAGATCAAGTCATGCAACGGGGGGTAAATTTCTAATTTCTATAGCAACTGAGCGTGTCTCACTCAGGAGATATAAAGGTAGCTGCGATCTCCCATCTGGCCAGACAACACTGAAGGGGGACGAAAAGGAGGGGGAACACATAGAAACACAGGACTCAAGGGACAACACAATATGGGTTGGGGCGCCTGCTAGGCTGGGTGCTAGGCTAAATAGGAGAACAGATACGGGAGGGCACTTAATGGGGAGGAGAAGGGGAGCTTCCACCGGTCCCAATAGTACATCTGTCACCGTGGACGGCCCACTTAGTTATATCAGAGGCAATGCACTAGTCCAGTGTCAATCAGGAGGTCATTAGCCAGATCACAGGGTCCTAAATGCTGCTGAGTCCATGTACAAAATCCAAGGGGTCCACAAGGTAGCGCATTGAGGTTGACGCTCATGCTGAGAGGCCGTCAGCTCTTCAAAGCGCATGATCAGACACACTTCTGCAATCCACTACTGCACGGTCGGGGCGACCACAGTGTTCCAATGTCGAGGCACTACGTTTCGGGCCGCAGCCAAGAAGAAGCCGAGGCAAGGGAGCCAGGTAGAAGAGATAGGAGAGCTATTTTAGGGGAGGCTGCTAGATACGGCCCCATTACCTGGTTATAGATGTCAAAGACCCGGTTCCAGAATGGCAGCACTAGGGGCAGTCCCACCAAATATGTAGTAGGGTCCCCTCTGCAGCCAGACAACGCCAGCAGAGGGAGGACCTATCAGGAAATATTTTATGTAGGAGGGTTGGGCTTCGGTACCACCAAGTTAAGATTTTATAGCCCTTTTCTTGAGCCGAGCAGGCCACGAAGAGTTTATGAGTAATTACGCAGGAGGTTCGGATCTCTTCCTCAGTAAAGGTAACACCTAAGTCCTTCTCCCAGCTGGTTATGAACGGGAGATGACCTCGGAATCTTATCGGGAGTAGCTGATGATACAGGAGGGAGATGACATGAGTGGGTGGGTCATCTAGACAACACAGGGACTCGAACAAGGAGAGAGGTTGGTGTAGGGTGACCCGGTCCCCCAACGCAGTGTAGAACGCCCAAAGTTGAAAATATAGTAGCCTGGCTCCGGGTACGTGGGGACGGCCCTCAAGTAGGGCGACCAAAGGCTTCAGTGTCGGTCCTGCGAGGTCCTCGGCCAAGGGTGAGGGCTCAGAGGTTGACCAGCAAAGAAAACTAGAGGAAATACAACCCGGTGGAAATGCCAGATTGCCCATTATGGGAGTCATGGGGCCCACACAAGAAGACAAGTCATGCGTTCTGAGAAGAAGGTCCTAGGCTTTCAGAAGTGGAGGGAGGGCAAAAGGGAGAAGCGATGAGTGAGGGTGATGAGAAGGGGCAATCCAGGGTACCGAGAAAGGGAGCACAGGGGAGATAAGTGCTTCCAGGGAGACCCAGAGTTTGTGAGTGTTTCTGGTCAAGAATCTTGGCAAGGAGTGCCACATCGTAGCATGTCCGCAGGTCAGGCAGGGCCAAACCTCCTGATTCCTTAGAGCGGACCATGATATGATAGGCTAGCCTCGGGCACTTTCCGGCCCAGATGAAGCGGAGCAACGCAGAGCGCATTTGACGGAAGAAGTTAGAAGGCAGGGCAAGGGGGAGATACAAAAAAAGATACAAAAAGCGCGGGAGAATATCCATTTTAAAGAGCGCAATCCTACCCAACCAGGAAAAGCAGAACATCATCCGCATACAATCCAAGCTTGTAATGGTGTTCCCGGATACTTATCCCTTGTATAGATTGGTTTTGTCGGATTGCTTCCGCAAGATGCTCCATTGCCAAAATGTATAGGTACGGGGACAGTGGGCATCCCTGTCTAGTTCCATTCCGGATAAACAAAGGCGGGGATAGGGAACCATTAACTTGCACACGGGCAGTGGGGCAGTTATATAAGGCCATGATTTTGTCCACAAACAATCTGGGCAAGCCGATCTGTGTCAGCGTGAGAGTTAGAAAGTCCCAGTTGAGGTGGTCAAACGCCTTCTCTGCATCCACCGAAAGGAGACACATCGGAAGGCCTGAGTCTTTAGCGTACCGCATAAGGGTGAGGGACTTGATAGTATTATCCCTGGCTTCGCGAAATGGGACAAACCCTACATGATCCATATGGATCAGGGAGGGAATGTAGTGACTGAGGCGAGTTGCAAGGAGCTTCGCATACAATTTAAGATCCACATTGATAAGGGAGATTGGGCGATAGTTGGAGCAGAGAGTAGGGTCTTTATCAGCTTTAGGGATTATCGTTATATGAGCTTCCTGCGACTTTTTGGTGAAGGGGCAATCGGCAGACACAGAGTTAATGCTGGTGTGTAGCAGGGGAGTCAGTAGATCCTGAAAGTGCTTATAGAAGGCTCCTGTGAAGCTGTCAGATCCCGGACTCTTCCCTGAGGGAAGTCACTTAATAGCGGCGGACACCTCCTCTATGGAGAAAGGTTCCCCAATGAGAGCAATGGCCTCAGGTGGAAGGGTCGGGAGAGGGGTGGCCACAATATAAGAAGCAGCATCATCTGGAGGGTCTGGGATCGGAGAGGACCTCCCCGGCGCAGGTAGGTTATACAGGTCGGCATAGTAAGTCTGGAAAGCGTGCGCAATCTGGTCAGTACAGTGGACCACCTGGGCACCTTTTGTTTGGATTTTAGGGATATATGTGCGGGAAATTTGGGTTCGACAGATCGCGCCAGGAGGCGCCCACACTTGTCCCCGTGTTCGTATAGCGATCTACGCAGGGATTCCCTGTATTTGACAGAGCTGAGATCCAGAAGGGATCGAAGATGTGAATGCTTCCGTTCCAGGTCCAACAATATGGAGGCGTCTCGGGAGGACTTATGTTGGAGTTCTAGTACGTGAATGTCGTCCAGCAAGGTTGTGAGTTCCGCTGAGCATGCCTTTTTTAGGCGAGAGGCATGGGAAATGAGAACACCCCTGAGAAGGCATTTAAAGGCTTCCCATTTGACTGGGGGGAGGTGTCATCCGTAGCATGCGTGGCAAGGAAGGTGGAAACCGTCGTTTTAATGGCATCTACCGTGACCGGGTCACGAAGGAGCGTTTCATTAAATCGCCACGTGAAGGAGCGGGGAAGTTGATCAGGAAGTGAGAGAGACAGGGAGACGGGGTAGTGATCCGACCACACCTGGGAGTCAATCCCAGCTCGTGGGTCCCAGGAGAGGAGGCGATGGGATACCAGGAAATAGTCTATGCGGATATGGGAACGATGGGGGAAAGAGTAAAACGTGTAGTCCTGTGCCGAGCGGTTAAGGATCCACCATATATCCACCAGCTGCAGGCGATGCAGAAGGGACTTGAGACGCTTCAGTTGTGTATGAGAAACAGAGGATCTCTCCGATGAAGTGTCTAAGCGAGGATCCAAGGGGAAATTAAGATATCCGCCAAGAACTATAAAACCCTCTGCAAATGTTTATGGAGGTTGTGTGGAGAAACCAAGGGCAACGGGGTTCGCTCCATCTTCAGAACCGGGCAACTCAATAAACAAAACAAAATTATGACCATTCAGAATAAGGTGCCAAATAAGGGGCAACAGAAAGGGCATGTCATAAACAATTATACAGTGTAACATAACAGCACAGGCCAACATAGTTATGTCTCAGCTCAACCAGCATCTGGGAGGATCTGATATCAAGCAGTGGGGTAAGGAGGGCGGAAGAGGTGGGCAGGGGAGGGCAGGTGGGGGTGAGCAGTCATCCTATGTACCCCGGGATCGTAGCCCCCAGAGGGGCACAGAATAGAAGCAGTGTAGGTCGCCCCGCCACCAGGGGCGGCCACAACTAGGGGATGCCATGACGGGAAGCACCCACTTAGTGGGCGTATCCTCCATGCGATGGACAGGCCCACTACAACTACACATCACAAGCTGACAGGGCTGGGGTGGAGAGCAGCATGCAGTGGGCACAAAACCCGGCAAGGGTGGTAGCGACAGAGATATCTCTGCCGCAAGGGCAGGTCCCATAGTCCAGTAGACGATCTCCAGCTGCCAGGACACTAGCCAAAGTAGAGGTGAGGTGCGGTCCACGGGACAACAAGGCACTGGGGGAAGACCTCTCCCAAAAAGTCTCCTGTGGCAAAACAAAAGGAAGGAAAGAAAAACCAGGCAAAGAGATACTCACGCAGGGTTGTAGCAGTGACATCTAGCTGTCATCTTTAAGGCAGGGAGCTGCGGGTGGCAGCGTCCTTCTGCGATTTCTTAGAGTGGGAGACTTCAGTCCACTGGGGTAGCAAGGGGACCTCAGGGAGCACGGGAGCTGGGGGGTCTGGCCAAGGATCCAGTTCCACTGCGGATATTCCTAGAGTTAGCAGTAAAGCCAGCAAGATCAGTCGGGGAGCGAAGGATCACCAGAAGGCCATTGTAGTGCACCGACAGATGGAAAGGGTAACCCCATCTGTAAGGGATGTGGAGGTTTCGTAGTAACACTGTAAGAGGCCGCAGGGCCCTCCAGCGAGCCATGGTCCGGGGTGACAGGTCAGGAAAGAAGGTAATAGCCGCTCCGTCAAAGTCAATGGAGCCACGCTCCCGAGCCTTGGACATAATTTCCTCCTTAAATGTATAAAAATGGACGCAACACAGGACATCCCTGGGCAGTTGTGCAGAGGGATTTCGGAATCCAGGGACTCAAGGTCGATAGGTTCCGTCGCCCCTCTATCAAGTAGTGAATTAAAGATACCTCTGATAGTGGGTTCCAGGTCCGCTGTCCCCGTCGCCTCAGGCAGGCCGTGGATTCTAATGTTGTTCCTTCTATTCCTGTCTTCAGCATCATCCATGTGCGTCCACACAGACTGCAGCAGCTTATGTTGGGTTAAAGCCGTTTTCTGTAGTTCAGTGATGGCCGTGCGATGTGCATCCAGATGGGAGTCCACTGTGTCCAGGCGTTTGTGTACCCCCTTAATAGCCTCATGCAGGCCAGCAACATCCGCCCTGTGCACATGTTCAAATCGTGCAAACAGGGCCTCCATATCCCTCATAGAAGGGAGGTGATCCAGCAGGCGCCTGACCTCTCCCCCAGAGCCATCCAGGGTAGATTCCTCATCAGAGGAGACCTCCGGGTCCGCCAGGACGGGAGACATGTCGGCTGGCTGGGAGGATGGTGAGTCAGGAGCAGCAGGGGATTCCCCACGTGGTGCCGACATGCGGCCCGCAGAGCCAGCAGATCACGTGTTCGCTGGGGCCGCAAAGAAGCTGCCGATGCCTGCTCTCGGGGTTCGTGTGCGGTCCGGTCTGGTGCCCTGGGATTTCTTACCCCTCTTGGAGCCCATGGCAAGTGGTGATGGGGCACTTCAGCAGTGTTGCCCGGTCCTGGATTGCGGAGCTAAGGACGAACACGTCCGGCTGCCGCCATTGGTAAGCTCCGCCCCGGATGTTGTAGTTTTGTAGACTTTAACATTTTCACCAAGGATGACATAACTTTAGAGTTACACTAAAGCTTTATATTATTATGCTTGTGCGCCGTCAAACAATTTGTTCCGCTCCGTTTCGGAATATCCGTTATTTTGTATTTCGTAATTCGTGTCCGAAACTCAATTCAGATTCGTACGAAATACGAATTTTTGTTAGTTTCGGCAAATTTTCGTAACTGTACGAACATTCGTTATGATGAAGTTAAAAAGCAAAAATACCTTTGTTAATATTGGAGTCGATGTTGTAGTTGTTTTTTTATCCGAAATACGAATTCCGTTAACGGATTCCGTATCCGAATTTTGGATGAAAAAAAAACTACCATCAACTCCAATATAAATGTACTTTGCTTTTTAACTTCAATATAACGAATGTTCGTAACGGAACGAAAATAAGGAATTTCGTATTTCCTGCCTGTGTATTGTAATGCAACCCTCAGCAGCAGCGGATCCGTATTTCGGATTAAAAAAAAATCTTGTCATGTTGTTCAACCTCATTTACAGGGGTAATATTAGTTCCTGTTTCAAAGAAATTCGGATCCGAAATTCGTTAACGGAATTTCGTATATAATTCGGAAACTGCAATTCGGATTTCGGATGCTTCCGAATTTACGAATTTCAGGAAAATTCGTACGAATTTCGATTCGTAACGAAACAAATCGCACATGTCTATATATTATAGGCAGATCATTTATTAAAGCTCCAGGATGAAGGTCTTCCCCCTCCCCAAGCACAGTCCATCAATCATTATATTTTGTTTCAATTATATATTGTAACACTAAATATGCTTTAGGCATTTACAATACTCCTGGGGGGGTATTTGAAGTGGTTTTCTAGCCAAAAATGTATATTTTATCATGTGAGTGCAAATAGTAAGAAAATGTCCCGGACAGCAAGTGGTTAATCTATGCACTAGACAAAGACCCACTGCAAGGGTTAATGTTTGCACATCCTGGAGTTCTGCTTTAAATACCCAAACATGTACTAGAACAAAATTGTTAGCATTATTGGTTATTCAAGGTAAACATTGCTTCATCTCATTTACTCACTGTGAAATTACATTTTGTAATGTGAATATTAATTTTGCAATTTTGCAGTAAACAGTTTCTACCCCTTTAGGAAATCTGATTGTTCCAATTTCATGTCCTTGGTATGAAGCAGGTTTGATCTTAATAATAATATATTTGGTATATTTTTTTTTAGGATATCTTATTGAAAGGAAAAAGAAAGGCAGCCAGCGGTGGATGAAGATGAACTTTGAATTCTACACAGACACAAATTATCAGTCAACAAACATGATTGAAGGAGTGTTGTATGAAGTCAGAGTCTTTGCTGTCAACTCTATTGGTATTTCGCAGGAAGCGAATACCACTAATCCATTCATGCCAATTGGTAAGTGATTTTTTGACATCAGAGGACAATTCAATAAAGACTATAAAACAATTAGAAATGGCTATGGTTTTTAAGGGACATTAAAGTCAAAAATGTTTTTCCCTCCCCCCAATGTTAATTAAAGCACTTACCTTAACCCCTTCGTGACGGGAGACGTACAGTGTACGTCCCGGCACTTTGTGCCTATATGACTGGCCATGTACACTGTACGTGACGAGTTATATCAGGCTTTGTAATGCTGGTAACAGCTGATTCTCAGCAGTTACCAGACATTAATGAATGCCTCAGTATTGATTTCTTAATCCGATCTTATTCTTCTTTCTTGTCCTTTTCATCTGTCCCTCCAGTGCTGCGGCGGGTCTCCGATCCAGCGCTGACTCCTCTGATCTTGCTGGCACTTCCTGTCCTTCGGTGTGTGTATGTGGGTGCACGCATCTATAGACTTACCTTGTGTCTCTCCTCGCGTCCCGGCCGAAAATGTGATCTGCGCATGCGCCTGCCCCTAGATGCTTTGCGGCCACCCAAAATTTTTCACATTTTCAGACGTGAGCGAGCGGGGAAGACACTGGTAAGTATTAACCCTTTTTAAACCTTTTTTTTTTACACTTTTTGCATTTATCTACTGCTTGCTAGCAGTAGAGATATGCAAAAACACCCGAGGCTTTAATTATCCTTTAAGCCTATATGCACATAATATATATAAGGGAATCAGGGTTAATTTTGTCTTATGGAGTGCTGAAAATCATATCTCAGGAGGCACCTTCTTATGGTGCCATAAGTCAAAGTTCTAACCTCATGGTGCATACATGTTTCCTACTTAGTGCTAGAGTATTTAAAGTTTCCTATGTACTAGTAGTACCAGATTAGTCATTGAAATAGTATTTTTCTTTCTAAGTAATTACACAAAACTTAGACAGTGCAGAACATTGCAATACATTAAAAAAAATCTGACAAGTTTCTTAAAATAAGCTCCCAAACCCCTCACTCTGGCTATATTTGTCCCCTTACAGCTACAGAATCTGCATCACTGCCACGATTGCCTCTGTTATAATTCACCACTTAACCTAATCTGCCTTCACCTATTCTCATACAAAGTACTAGCATCAATGATAGTAGCAAATAAGGATAATTCTGGTGTGGGGAGGAACTTGATGGATAGGGTAAATAAGTAATGTTGGGGTACAGAGATAAACATTGAGCACCACATTCCTAAAATTCTATACTTGTGGGCTTTTAAGGTGCTGTTTAATGTACAACCTCATGATCAAAGTTCATAACAAACACATTTATGTACCATGTAAAAAAACATACCATCATAAAAATAAATTATTTTTTTATGCCCACAGTATCAATTTATATATATTCCGATGTCATATAACATGATTACATCACAGACTCGGATATAATACATTGTTGCCTATTAAACTTCCTTTAATGGTTTGACGCATTTCACAGCTGTGCTTCTTTAGGAACCTCAGGTGAGTATAGCAGTATGTGGACTACCATATTGACCAGGGGCACACCGAGGGGGGCCATAGCCTACCCAGAGGGGGCCATCCGGGGGGACCAATGCAGAGCCAGATGAGTTCCAAACAAATATACCAAATGGTGTAGTTCAAAGAAACAAGGAGGGAAAGAAAGACCCACAGGCAACCTCTATACCATATGAATCTGCAATAATCACAACTAGATTGTAGTATGGCACCCTCTGCCAGACTGGTCTTATATACTGGTGTTACTCCCACTCCCATTCAATGGTGGTACTGTGGTTTGGTAGTGTGTCCCTGTGTTGGTCAAAATGCTATATAGTATGGTCGGCGGCGAGACTCTAATTCTTACACAGCCCCTCCCCCCCCACCCCCAAGATGGATACTGCATTGTCAGGATGCCCGGCCATATTGTTTCATTTTACATCATGTGCGATCCATGGAGGCCCCACCTCGCAACATACAGGACATAAAGGATCTGCTACTGACAGCTTGGTGCCAGATACCACAGCATACCTTTAGAGGTCTAGAGGAGTTCATGCGTTGATGGGTTGAGTACAAAAGTGGGACCTACTCAATATTTGGCTATTGGTCACAATGTTGTGGCTGAAATATATATTTCAGTTTGGGTGGGCACCAGTAGATTCGATTATCCACCGGAAAATATGTTATTCTTAGGATAAGATTGGTTGAGCTTTCCCTTAGTAGTAGTGCCTTCACCTTTTTCATAGGACCATAATAAAGGTGTCACTCTCTTAGGACATCCAAGATGTTATTTTTTTCATACATTAAAAGGAGTCCAGTGACATTATTCAGAGTCACCATTAGGATTTGTAATGGTTGTTTTATGACCATGCTTTAAATTGTTTTTCAGCTCCTACCAGTGAGCCTTTGCATTTGAAAGTTGAGGATGTCACAGACACCACTTGCACACTGAAATGGAGGCCACCAGATCGCATCGGAGCTGGAGGAATAGACGGTTATTTGATTGAGTACTGCAAAGAAGGATGTAAGTAAATAGTATATGATCTTAAATGTGTTTTTGCATGTTTGTGTAGAAATGATATAGAAAGTGTTTCCCACTTTTTATGGTAAAATGCTGAAGTGCCTAGAGCCTGTGTAAAACTAGATCATCGATTGGTCACTGGATAGTGGTGGGGCTCTCCTTTCCAAAGCTCCTGTATGCCAAAGCAAAAACCTTTCTGCACTCATTACATATATACAGTTGTCTTTCTAAATGATTCCCTTAATCTCTACCTCAACCTTTTACATATGGGGATATCAGCCCACATACCTGGTGTATGCTGCCAGGGGGTAAGGGGGTAGCTACAAACCTAGAGTCAGTCAAGACTTCCTTGCTATACAATATATCTGCATGGAGGAACAAGTATGTATACTAACAGTGAAGGCCCCCCTGTGTTTATGGGTCCGATAACCGGTTCAAGATTTGCTACCACTAAGGCAACCTTGATATTATGAAAATTACATCATGACAAGTTATATTTTTTATTATAGCTTTAATTTTACACCTTGCATATGATAATTTCTTCTATTGTTTGTACACCTCTTTAACATCCTTTAGCTGATGAATGGGTTGAGACCAACAAAGATCTAGTTGAAAGATGTGGATACACAGTAAAGGGTCTACCAACAGGAGAAAAACTTTTCTTCCGAGTGCGTGCTTTGAATATTGCCGGCAAAAGTGAGCCAGCCGTTCTGTCGCAGCCAGTTACAATTCGGGAGATTGTGCGTAAGTTGTTTTTTTTTTATCTCCATAAACAGTGAGCCTAATCATTCAAATTCAAGAGTTGTGCACTGACATTTAATATTTCATATATGGGCAGATAATTATTTCCTATCTAACCTCTAGAGCACAGAGAGCGCTATATCTGGAATGGAGTTCCTGGCTTTGCACCTTCTTGCTATAAAATCTAATTTAATTTGTTAAAGGTTCTATCATTCTATCACTTCCAAATGTAAAACAACTGTAAAATGTAACTGGTGATTTGAGACCCCTCTTAATGGCCTTAGCATGTGAATGGATGTAGAAACACAGAAGCAGAAATGTTGGTGCAAGAGTCCCTTAGAATTATAACAATATACCTGTAGACCCATAGACCCAACTTACCTCTATATGCAAAAAAAGTTTTTTTGTTCCCTTACAGTGGCCTTTAACAGAAAGACACATAGGCTGTGTTGATGGCCTCCTGAAAATTCCAGTTGTCTGTCTATCTCTGACTGTATTCGTTTTTGAGTCCCTGAGCTGAACCATGCAGCCAGTGAATTCAGAGTAAAGGCAGGACCTACAACATCTACATAGTTATTCTAGATATTGTTGAGTCTCTGCAACAACACACAATTAAGTATTTCAAATGTAAATCTAAATAAAACTATTGTGTCCTTTTCATTTTTACAACAGAAACACCCAAAATCAGATTACCACGGCAGCTGAGACAGACCTATATTAAGAGAGTAGGAGAGCAAGTCAACCTAGTTATTCCCTTTCAGGTAAGATTATAATGTGCTGGTGTGTGTTTGTAGCTATTTGAAACCAATTTAAGTTGAATATTTTCAGGCATATTTGGACAGGAAAGTGAGGGTTCTATGAACCCTCATATTTTGTCACCAGTTCTACAGTACATGTGTCCACTCCTGTCATGCTGTCCGCTCTCTTGTAAATCTAGTCAGCATCAGGCCAAAATCTGTCCCTCTCCAAGAGAGCTGGAACCCCCAGCCCCAAACTCATAAGCTTTCCCTACTGATGAGTTGACCAATGTGTGACCCTATACACACACATAATTAAACAGTACCTCCAGCTATTATATTATGTAGAGTTTAGAAAAGCATTTGCAATTAAGCCAAAAGGTTAGAGGTTGGGTTGCAGACAAGCTCTACACACCTTCTGCTTGTAAGACAATGACTTTACTGTTGTGTTATCAACTGTGTAAAAATTATTTCCTATGCTCCTCATCTCCATCTACTGGCTATGGTGCAGTATTACATCACATTATATTCGACCTAAAAAAAAAATATACTAAAGGCTACGTTTTCTTTTCTGACCATGATTCATGTTACACTCATATTCAGGGGGTAACATGAATCGTGGTCAGGCCACAACCCCTTTGACAGGATCTGTGAATGGAGAAACTACAAGTCTGATCAGTCACTGTGGCAGAAGGAATTGTAGTTCTCACTTGAAATCACCGCACTTGCAGTCCATTCATTTTTCCTCATGTCTATGTCCTGACCGAGGTACGGACATGGACAGGATGGAGAGTCTGCAGGAGCCAAAGCATAAAACCAGATCGCGGTTGCAATGCTTTACCGGCTGCAATGCAAACAAATAATGTTATTCTTTCATGAAGAAGTGTGCATTTATTTTATTTTTTTTACAAAAGGTGGAATTTCCCATTAAGAATTTTTTTTTCACAATTTTTTTGCACAAAACACAAATATTCACAGGGTGAAGGGACCTGCAAATGTTTAATTAACAGACACCTACGTGAAGAATACATCTCTTGCAGTGTTCTGAGAATATTTTTATATTGTGCTTAGGGAAAACCAAGACCAAAGGTCACATGGACAAAAGAAGGCCAGCCACTGGATCCAAAACAAGTCAGCATCAGAAATTCAGAATCAGACACCATTTTGTTTATAAGATCTTCTGAACGGTCTCATTCAGGGAAATATGATCTATCTGTACAGATCGAGAATATGGAAGATACAGCATCAGTTAACATTCGTATTGTGGGTAAGTTGTAATTACTTGTAAAAATGCTGGAAATACAATTGTCATTAGTGATAAGCGAAACCGCCCAAGTTTGATTCACCAAACGGCAAATCTTGTTAGAAATTCGATGAACCCCAACTTAGAAGAAAATCCCATTGAAGTCTATGGGGGCAAATATTGTTACATTTTGGGCATTTTTAGGGATAATAGGCAAAATACTGTTAAAAAGGCATGGGAAGCTTGAAAGTGCCCAGAAAGTGATGCCTTAAAGCTGTACGTGGTGTTACAGATTAGTTACAGATCATTTTCATTGACAGTTTTTTATTTTTTTATTGCCGTCTTGATTTATTTGTTTTCAAAAATATAAATATATTCCTTATTTGCCAGACTTCTTCATCCTGAAATAAAACATTGCAGATTACCATACAGAAAGAACAATTTGTTCAAGACTAGTGAAGTGATGATGTATTAACAGCACAGAGATATGTTACTGTACAAATATCTAAGCATAGTTACTAAATCACTACTGCAATTTTCTGCATTTTTCTTGTGCTTCACAAACAAGCCATTTATGTGCTCCTGTGTGGAATAGCTGTGGTTTGTAGCACCACCACATCCTTCTGTTTTTTGATTGGTTGAAGTCCCATTGTGGTAAAAGGCAGCTACGGCGTGGTCAGTGGAATTACATGCTTATTTGTCTATTTTTATTCTGGATATTTACTTGTAACAGAAAAGCTAAGTATTGAAATTGAGTGGAAAGTTTTCATGAAGGTCTAGTAAGAGTTTAACATTAATGGAGCTGCATAATGTTTTTCCTTTACCTAATAGGATTGGCAGATATTAAAAGCACCACCAAATCTAGTTATATAATTATAAAAAGAATCAATAAGGTGGAACTCCAGATAAATTACTTCATACACAGTTAAAATGTTTACAGTTTTACTTTCCAAAGGAACTTTAATTCTGTTTAACCAGTCTCATGATTGATATGTCTGTGTAGCCAGACAGGTGGCACTACTATTTCCTGTTTTAGCATTGCAACGTTTTGTGTCACCTGTCAACCTCCAGGATGCTCATTAGGCAGTGATTCAACATGATCACCTATGTCCAATGAGTAAGGGACCTGGCAACAGCAAGGTTACAGCAAGAAGTAGTAGAGTGAACGTCTGGGTTGTGCAGTAAAAAAAAAAAGACGTGTACATAGAAAGATTGGTTTAAGAGTAATCAAATTCTTTCGCAGGTATTTCTCTTCCGTTCATTGAAGGACACAGGGAACATATCGTAGATCATGTACCGTAGGGTATATTGCCACCTGCAGGAGAAGGACGCTAGGCACAAAACAAATGACTAAGACAGCCTAGGGGCGGCCCCTGCTGGTGGCCATACCCCCCACATGCTGACATGTCTCCAGTTTTTTGCCTAGCGTCGGGAGTAAGGAGCTTCAAATTTTTTCTCTGGATTCCCATCTGGATTTTTCCCGCTGAATCGTCAAGCAAGTGTCAACAGGGAGACAGGCTGGATGTCTGTGGATCCTTGTAGTCTTCCCTGGGTGACCGACGAACGCAAGCAGGCTCTGCTACGGTGGGTCGGCTGCGACGACTCTGTTTGACAGAGTAACCTGTGGGTTTATCCAGGTTTCAACCTTCCAGTCACAGTACCCCACACAGGCTGGCGGCGCCGCGGCTATGGTCGGGGGCATTTCTCGGCCATCCCTGCATGCCTGTCATGCGCCCATCGTTGGAAGAGGTACGGTGGATCTCAGCTGCGGTTGTAACTGTTGTTTTAGGCGGTTGTCAGGCTTTAATCCCAGGCGGCTCTCTCAATCACAAACGGAGAGTTTGAGATTTAGACATCATGGACCGCTAAATAATAATCAATAACAGAAGGCGAAGTTGCACAAGGAATATTAAGTCATATTCCTCATTAGCCAATCACATCTGGGAATTGTAATTTAAATGGATAAGGCAGTCTCTATGTCAAACAGCAGAGGCAATTCACTTAAACAGCATAGGCATATTTGTATTGAAGTAGTAAGAGTTGATACTGAGAGGGCTCCACTAGGTGGCAGCGTATAGGATCCGACACAAGTGAACAACAGTCCATAAGCAGATACTTGCGGTTTGGGTGATGAAGCAGTAGCTCAAATGAAGAGCACTCCAGGGGAGGCTGGCTGCTGGGGGAAGAGTTGGATCCGGTTCGGCGTGGTTCCAGGGTGAGTGGAGAGGTTCCTGGGGTGTTTGGGCAATGATCCCAATAATCGAACACCCCACAGCATTCCCGGCAGGTTTAAATAGCCCGTGGCCGTGACGGTTTCGTGTCTCGCATTGACCGCACGTTGACGCTGCGGCTTCCTGGGGCCCGCACTCTGTCGTCGCCGTCTCCTGTTCTTCAGGGGGGTCAGACAAGGAGGGTGTGGTTTCTGCGGCGTTGGCTTGTTCTGACCCGGGGCATTTTCCCACCGGTGGTGCGTTCGAGTCGGCGGCTTCACTTTGGTTCAGGAGCGCAAATTGTTCTCCGCATTGATTTGTTTGGTCAGGGTGGCCATTCAGATGGGGGTGCTCTGCGTTCTTCTGGGCTGCCCCGGTTCGTTTTGGAATCGCTTAAGTGTAGGTCTTTTCCCCTACACCTCCTTCTTGATGAATTACTTTACAAGGAGTGGCAGCAACCGGCCGAAAGTCCCTTTCGGTGCCTAAGCCTTCTCTGTTCGCTATCCCTTGAAGAGGTTTTTCTGGCTGATTGTGCGTCCCCTCCTGCGGTGGACCCTCCGGTCTCATGTCTGAGCGAGGTGGTTGATTCTCCTTCCTTTCGGGTTCCCACTGATAGGAAGGCAGACTGTTTCGCGGCCTATGTATTTCGTCTCGGGTGCCCTCATGCTTCTGTTGTTTTGGCCTCAGACCCTGATTGAATGGGAGAAGTTGTTACACCAGGGTCTCGCTGTGGGGGAACGTTTCTCCCACCTATACTGAGCTGGCAGACAGTTGGTGCAGGGTCTGGCTTGTGTTTGCAACTCTGTCTTGGATGCTACGCCACTGGCGTCTAGACTGTCAGTGTCGGCGGTTGTACTCTGAGCAGGTTTTGGCTGGGTTTTTTCTTTTTACAGGGGGTCTCTTGTGTGCGGCTATGCTGGCTGAGACCATTGAGGGTCTGACGGGCAGTGAGGGTACCTTTCTGCCTCAGGCTGGGAAGCCTGCGGGCCACCGTTTGATGCCCGGTCCTTCCTACTCCCCCTCTGTCCTCGGGGAAGGACGGGATGTTCTCCTGGCTGTCTCCTTCCCAGGCCTCAGTCTCCCAAGTTCACCAGCTAACCCCCTTCTGATTGAAGGTCTCCCCCATCTCTGTGTTCCAGGGTGGGGGGGCATCTTCGGTTCTTGCAGGCCTATGGTTGGCTCGTGTCTTCAACACTTGGGTGCGGGGAGCTGTTTTCCTCAGGCTACATGATAGAGTTTCTGTCTCGTTCCGGGGACAGGTGTTTTGCCTTTCAACATGCATCTCTCTCCGCAGTGGCTCACGATTCCTCACCACACAGTGTCGGACCTCTTGTCAAGGGGTGGTCGTTACGGTGCTCTCTCCTCGGAGAGGTTGAAAGGTTTTTTTATGCATGCCTGTTTCCGGTGTCCTAGACAGGGGAGATTCAACCTCTCCTAGATCCTGGGGCATTTGGACTCCTGTGCGGGCCCGCTGGTTCCGGATGGATTCCACCAGATCCATGGTGGTGTGTCTCCTTCTGGGAGATCTGCTGGCTTCTATTGACATCAAGGTCAAGGTCAGCTCCCCATTTGTCTTCCGTCTGCGTTATCTTTGGTTTGCGGTCAGAGAGGTATACTTCCAGTTTGTGGCTCTGCCCTTCAGTCTGGTGTCAGGCCCTCGAGGTTCACCAAGGTGTTGGCCCCAGTCCTGGCGTTGTTACGCTGTCGTTGATTCTCGATTGTGGGGTCTCGGGACGGTCTTCTCTTGAAGGCGGAGTCGCACTCCTTTCTGGTGGAGGCTCTTGCGGTCCTTGGTGGAGTTCGGATGGTTTCTGAACTTTCAAGAGTCCTGTCTAGTGCCGCCCCCGCGCCTGGGGTGCGTGGGCCTGCTTCTGGGCACGGTTCGACCCCAGGTTTTTTTACTATTCCTCCTGGCAACTTCTGAAACTTCGCTTTCATGTGCGGCTATTGCGGTCTCGTCTTTGGTCACCTATTCCGCCTTCTGCACTTAGGTGCTGGGCCTCATGGTAGCCTCTTTTGAGGTGGTGCCTTACGCGCGGCACCACACCAGGCTCCTGCAGAGAGACATTTTGTCAAAGGGGGACAGGTCTACTTTGTCGCTGGACAGGGAGGTTCGGGCGCGGAGCATTTTCCCTAGTGTTGGGGGCTCCGTTCTCAGGCTCTGGTGTCGGGGAAATCCTTCCTACCCCTACGCTGATGTGGTCACCAGGGATGCCAGCTTTCTGGGCTGGGGAGGGGTCCTGGGCTCCTGGACTGCACAGGGTCATTGGGGAAGTTGTCCATCAACGTGTTGGAGCTTCGGGCGCTTCGATTGTCTCTCCAGCATTGGGCGGGCCAACTTCAGGGCCTGTCTGGTTCGGTTGGACACGGCCATGGTTCGCTCTCTCTGCGTTATACGGAGCCTGCGGTTTGGATTCTTTGTTTGTTGTGCATTTAGCTACCATCTCTCGATGGATTCGTAACCAGATTGTTCAAGCGTTTGCCATTACGGAGCGTGTGCCTCCTTTGCCTGTCGCTGCCCATTCTACTTGGGCAGTTGGGGCTTCTTGGCCTTTTCGCCATGGTGCCTCTGTTTCTCGGATTTGTAAGTCTTTTGCTTGGCTTTCTGTTCACGCCTTTGCCAAGTTTGCTATGGTGGTTGTATTGGCGTCTGCGGATGCTGACTGGGGCGCAAGGTTTTGCGGGCGGCCCTTTAGTGGGGTCTTGTTGGGGATTTTGGTTTTGCCCACCCCTCTGCCTGTACTGCTTTGTGACGTCCCTATGGTAAACGATCTACGATCTGTTCCCTGTGTCCTTCAATGAACGGAAAAGAAAATAGGAGTTTTGTACTCACCGTAAATTCCTTTTCTCTCCGTTCATTGAAGGACACAGGTCCTGCCCTCTGTAGCCTAGGGGCGGCCCACCAGCAGGGGCCGCCCCTAGGCTGTCTTAGTCTTTTGTTTTGTGCCTAGCATCCTTCTCATGCAGGTGGCGATATACCCTATGGTACATGATCTACGATCTGCTCCCTGTGTCCTTCAATGAACGGAGAGAAAAGGATTTTAAGTGGGACTTGTAGTCCCGCATAGCTACTGGTATTCTGCATTGATGTATGATGATTATACAGCAATGCAGAATAGCTCCAACTATGTAGGACTACAAGTCCCAGCAATGCATTATATTTTTAAGTAGGGATACACCAGTGTTAATACTGGACATTTTCACGAATACTCATACTCGTGAATATGCCTTGATACTAAATGCAGATACCGGTGTTCTGTCGAGAATGCCGATGTAGTCGAATTTGCTGACCTCAGCATCTGCGCTTACCCACAGACCGGTATTATGGAGGGAACGGGGATTCATTTACAAAGTATTTCACCTAAATTGTTAATTGTGACCGTTAATATTCCATCCATCATTCACTGCCATGGACGGTATATTATTAACGGTCACAATTAACCATTACAAATGAATACTTTGTAAATAAATGTCAGTTTCTTAGGTAATCCCGTCTGTACGAAAGCGCAGATACTGGGTCAGCGTTCGACAGAACACTACACTAAAATTTTAAACAAGCAGCTGCCCGAGGTCCCGCGCTTGCTGGGGACCTCGGCAGCCTTCCTGTTAACCATGCGGTGCCATGGTGGTTGGGGGGGGGCCTTCATGGTTTCTTGCACCGGGGCCCTGAAGGTTCTAGTTACGCCTCTGGTCTTAAATACCAACATCTTTCTTTATTACGATAAGTCGGTCTGGCTGGCTATACAGCATCACATAGTGTTTCTGATCTGAATAGTAGGAGCTGCTGACATGAGCAGGAAGATGACTTCATCAGTTTGGTAATGCTCCTATTGTTGACTAAGCAGTCTTGTGGTGGATTGGGTACCAAGCTATATTGTTTGTCTGCAGTGCGAAAAAGTGACGTCACCAACCTGACCTAGGTTTTTTAGCAGGAGTGCATGGATCACAAGACTGGTGGAAGATAATTACAAATGCTTGGCAGGTAAAGCAGTTTACACATATCAATTGGGTATTTAGCTGTTTGTCCAGTATCCTCTTTTACTTTAAGCTGTTACTAGCTTTTTTGTCCCGATGGCTATCCGTTAACCATCCATTCCCAAGTGTAGCTCGGGGTTACTTTTCCATACCATGGGGTCAATTCACAAAGCTTATTTTCTTCATTTCGGCCGTAACCGGTAACCCCAAGCTACACACGGGAATGCCGCATAGCATTACTTACCTTGTCCCTCGAGCCGCACTGTGTTCTCTGGCCGGCGCCGGCATCCGTCTTCTGGGTTCCATCCCTTGCGAGCGTACGCGTCGCAGGGGGGGCGGAACCGGCGGGATATTAAAAAAAATTAAACGAAACAAAAAAATCATACCGCCAGGAAGGTTCTCATTGTCTCTCATTTAGGAACAGGGA